ATAAACGAGGGTTCACTGTAGTTGGAAAATAAATAGTTGGAGATTGCATGATAGAATTCTGTAAGACTAATAACTTCATTGTGATTATCTGGTTTTTCAACATCCTAAATGGCTACTGTACATAGAGACCTCACCAGATGGAATGAACAGTGATCAAATTGACTAACTAGTGGGAAGAGACGATGGCAATGCTCAATACCATCAGCCAAATTTAAATCAGGAGCTGAATTTGGAACAGACCACCAATTGCTCACCTGCAAGTTCAGACTGACGCTAAGAAAAAAAGATCGAAACAAGTCCACGAGAGTGAAAGTGCCACCGTGAGTATATCCCACCTGAATTTCAAGACCATTGTACAACAGACTTGATACTTCAAACGCGAATGACCGAAGACCAGACACGACAGTGGATGGTATCAAGAACACCAGACATGAAAAAGCAGAAGGTGTTTTAAAAACAAGAAAGGAAGAAGAGACCAAAATGGATGTCAAAAGAGATGAAACTTGCTCTCATGCACATGTGATAGCTGGACAATAAATAAGGAAGACTAGGAAGTGATCGATTCGTTTGAGTTACGGTTCTAGTGAAGAACAGTGAAAGTGTCATGAATTTCCAGAAGAATACACAGATCTAGGAGGAAGTACAGCCAGAACTCGCCTTAGAAAAGGGGATGGGGAGACTTCACCTCATGTACTTTGGGCATATTATCAGAAGAGTCTAGTTCCTGGTAAAAGACACCAACCTTGGTAAAGTACAAGGTCAGTCAAGAAAGGAGCGAAAAAAGAGGAAGACGCTGGAAGAGAAGGGTTGATTCGGCAATCGCAGCAACGGGCTCCAACATAGCCCAGGCTGCGGCTGACGCAGAACTAGGCAGTCGGGTTCCCTTCTGATCTCTATGGGGTGCTAGCAGCGGAAACTGACTCAGTGGCACTGTGTTTTTTTAATGAGTCAGAGGAGACTTGAAGGCACATAACAACAATGATACATTAAAGAAATGGATAAATGTCGTAAGAATCTCTTTTTTTAATTGGCAAGAGATCTGAG